TTATTTTGCCACAACAGACTTCACCTTTAGAATTATATGTTAATGTAAACATAATTTTAAGTTCCAAAGCTTTAACATCAAGATCTTTTCATCAAGTAAAGGTAAAGGTTTCCCTTGCTCAAAAGTCAGTCAAATCCGAGTACTAAACAATAATTTTGTATTTTTTTTCTTAGTATTAAAAAGTCACATAAATCTCCATTTTTTAAATTATTCACATGTCAACATAACTTGGGGATGTATTTATTGTTATTGCCTTTCTGCTATTGTCTTAAAATTCAGAATAATTGCAAATAATACACACAAATATAGAAAATGGGACAAGAAGGAATGAAGGAAAGCATTTAGAATCAGGGACAAACCTCCAAAATATTCTGGAAAACAGAAAATTATATGGGTCTAGCATACATCTGTTAAGCATGGACATACAAAACAATAGGTTTCCTGAATCAGTAGATTCTTTCCTCTTATTGTGCTTTGTCGTGTTTGGTAGCTTTCCTTGTTTGTTTTAAGTTAAGCTATGTAACTTCTACATCAGGATCCATGTGCCTTGTGCTGTGTTAAACAAAGGGGCCCACAATTTGTGTTAGATAAGAGAGCAGGCATTCAAGAAGGGATGAAGCTTTTGAAGTTTGGGTGTAAGATTTTCCTTAGTGGTGTTTTAGTGTGTGTGTATGTTATTTTTCTGGCTGCTGTATACAAAGGAAGTGTTGAAAGCTCTCTGCTGGTAACATTGATTCACTGAGGGTAGATTGCTTTCTAAAAAACAAATCCTCTAAAAAGCTATATGCATTATGTAGAGTAGGTGGAATGGGGGAGGATTTTACAACAGATAATTTTTCCTGTATGGAGGGGAGGTTTACTGCTGATGAGGCGGGCTAGAAAAGGTTATGTATATGTGTTTTATCCTACAGTAGCTTAGTTGGAGTGAATTAATTTTGTCCTGAGAAGCAGCCTATGTAGACATTTATCATTTATCATGAGCTCAAGCAAACCGGATGCTGTATATTGAGAATGTTGTGTCATTGAGCTTGACAATGGAATCAAACAAATGCTCAATGCTACATGTTACAGCCTACAAGAGAGTCTTACTGTAAGTTTAGCCTGCTTTTATCTCTGGTTTAGCTGCCATGACAACTGCACTGCTTTCATATGCCTTGTACAAATGATTGTTAAGAGTGCTGAAAGTCATTGATATTCTGAGTGTTTTTCTACTGCAGGCAGCAACAAGCTTTCCTTGTATTTAATCCAATGTTTACTACTGTCCTGAACATAATTAATGCAAAGTGTATTCTTGGACAGTTGTAATGATTCCTTATGAAGTCATCCTGTCATAATAATGTATTTTACCTTTTCTTTCCATCATGCCTCTTCCCCTACTGCAATTAAAATTGTATGATTTTTTTTTGTTTTATTTATTTTTATTATTCTGGGGGGGGGGAATAAAATAGTTAAAGATATTATTTTGGATTCAAATATTTTTATTGTTACTTTCAGAAATAGTTGGGTTTTGTTTTTGCTTCCCCCCCCCCAATAATGCTCTTGCACCCTTCAGTTGCCCATCTGCCGTTTGACATTAAGCCGTGCAAAGACGGCCTATTGTTTAATCATGCCGTGAGATAAATGGTCACTTACAAATCTGTGCATTAGTGAAGGGATATCAGGAGCTTCAGATCCAATCATGATAACAGCAAATTAAAATAAAAATCTCCCTTGGTATCACTTGCTCTGCAAGTGCCATTGCCTGGGCACAGCTAAGAGTCCATGCAGTTGTAACATTTTAACGGTGGTTGATTGAGAGCTGGCTGAAGAATATCATGCTGTTCTCTGTCTTTCTTCTCTTATTGATGTTAACTTTGACAAAGGTTTACTGGCTTCCCCACTTAACTAACATTTTAAATCAACTGGTTAAGTGGAAACCTGGTTAGTATTAAGCATGATAAAGATTGGTGCTGGTGTAGAACTTAGCAACAGTTAAGGTTGCTGGTGGGTGAGGGGTGAAGATGGAAATTTCTCAGCAAGGCAAGCATGGAGATCAGGAACTTCTTTACATAGAGAGTGATTAAAATGTGGGATTTGTTGCCACAGGAATAAACAGATTTTTTTAAAAGGGATTAGATAGATTGATGGAGGATAGGTCTATTAGTGGCTACTAGCCACAGCAACTGTTGGGAACATCCGCATTCAGAGGCACTAAACCGTTGAATCCCAGAGCCAGGTGGCAACATCAGGGGCAGGTCTTGACATCTATGCCCTGTTGTTAGCCCTCCAGAGAAACTGGTTGGCCATTGTATGAGACATGATGCTGGACTAGATGGACCATTGGTCTGATCCAGCAGAACTCTTCTAATATTCTTAAGGGGTGGTGGGTTCAGGACCTGCTATGCAGGAATGAGACATTAAAGCAAAACCCTGCTTTGGGTGCTTGGCAGTCACATCAACTGTAAAAAATAGTTGGAGTAGAAGCTAAGCATCCAATCCCTCTCCAATTCTGCAGGCAGCTTAAAGCCATGGCTTGACCAGTGGCATGAGCTCTTTGGCCCTCAACACCATAGCTTGCAACCTGTGACCCTGTGTGAGCTGTGCTGGTGTAATCTACAGTAAGCCCAGAACATCCTTGGGCCTCATCATGTGCTTAAGTTAGCATTGGGAACTGGTTGGGCTGTATTTTTTTCTTTAAATTTCTATTGTTTATGGATATTTGGATTAAGCTGCTTGGGGTCCCTGATGTGGTAGAAATGCAGGATGAAAATGTTAGAAAGAAGCAATGCAGTTGATGGACCTCAAGTGACCAAATGGTAGATATTTGCCATGGATTGGAAGATATGTATGGGAGATATATGCAGTCATTTGAAGTATGCAATGCTCCTCCTTTGTTACAGTGTAAAGAGTATGAGGAATTTCACATTACCCTTTTAAAGCCAGTTTGAAGCCATTTTTGATCTGTCGTGGAGTAAACTGGTATAGGGCTGCCATTTCACACATGGCTAGATCTGAAGCGGTTTGCCATTTCAGACTGCACTGCTTTTCCCCACTTTTTCCTGCCATTTTTCGCCTGCGTGGGCGATCTCCGGCTTTTTTAAAAAACGTTCGTTTTAGAGCACTATAGCACTATAACACAACACTCCAGGCATTGCAATGTGGTTGCTATAATGCTGTTTTGCTGTTGTGTTATAGCGCTATAGCGCTCTAAAGCAAATGTTTAAAAAAAGCTGGAGATCGCCCGCACGGGTGAAAAACAGCGGGAAAAGCGTTTCGGATCCGGGAGAAGAAATTGAAGACTACTTGAAAGTGGTTTACAGGTAAAACGGTTCAGCCCCATTTCCTGAATGGGACAGAAGCGTTTGTGTGTGAAAGTACAAATATATTCCGGTAGGGAACCAGTTCTAAAACAGTTCTGTCTGAAATGTCAGACCAGAAACCGTTTGGGAACCGTTCCTGAACCGGAATATATCGCCTGTCTGAAATTCCTCTATGTTATCCTCATATTTGCAATTCATAGAGATGTTTGTATCTGGAGTTGTGAGGCAGTTAAGGGCCTCTGAGATTTTTGAGAAGACATGTTTTAGCAGTAACTGTTATTACGCTAGGCTGTTTGTGCAAAATGCTTACCATGCCATGTATCCTTTTGCCATAATGTGTGTGTGTTAAGTGCCTTCAGATCACTTCCAATTTATGGTGACCCTATGAATTAGTGTCCTCCAAAACCTCCTTGCTCATGTCTTGGAGATCGAGAGTTGTAGCTTCCTTGATTGAGTCAATCCATCATGTTGGGTCTTTCTCTTTTCCTGCTGCCTTCAACTTTTCCCAGCATCACTGTCTTTTCCAGCTACTGTAGTTCAATTGCCTCAGTTTAGTCATTTTAGCTTCTAGGGAGAGTTCAGGCTTGACACAACACCTGTCACCAAAGTACCTACTTACATGCTTTGTGTTTGCACTACATGAAGTCAGAGTGATATAGTCCCATGCCACATACCCTGTCATCTTAGTTAAGGATTCCTAATTGGTCATTTATATGCTGCTGTAAGCTTGCTATGATTGATTGCACAGTTAGTTGGACTTCTGTGCTTTGTCCTGACTGTAGAGACAGGTGAGGGGGAAATGGGGGGGGGCAGGCATTTTGGGCTTTCTGTCAAATTAAATGGGAATTACAAAACTTTTTTTGCAGGATAAACATTTCACTGTATTGTTGGGTGAAACCATGGTCCTAAGAGACCTTTGGGTGTTTTAGCCCTCCTGTTGATGTAACTGAAGTATGGGATTATTTTTCTCTGAGTATGAAGGGTAGGTTCGAAAAACAAATAAATGTGCTAATGCAAAAGTGCTCATACTTCATTTTGCTTACCGGTTTTTTTTTTAATGTCTTAACGGGAAAATATTGCTCAGATATTAAGCACAATAATTATACTTGAAGTTTTACCTTGGACGTCTCAGTTAAAAAGAAGAGTGTGGTAGCTGCACATATATTTTTATATCTGTTTTGCAGTTTACTGGTTCTAAAAGGTCATGCTTCTTTACTGGTCATCTGTAAGGAAGCTTTTTAGAGACTTTCCAGTGAAAAGTTTCTTAAGAAATATATCTCTTTGCCAAATATTTGTAAACTTTGAGGCCCATAAAACAAACAATGCTCTGTTTTATACAAATGCAGGAACTTGAGTAGTGTGAATCCCCCTCCCCTAATGATTAAGAAGAAGAAGAGATTGGATTTATACCCGCCCTTCACTACCCAAAGGTGTCTCAGAGTGGCTTACAAACTCCTTTCCCTTCCCCTCCCCACAACAGACACCTTGTGAAGTAGGTGGGGCTGAGAGAGCTCTGACAGAAACTGCTCTTTTTCAAGAACAGCTCTTACAGAACTACAGCTTGCCCAAGGTCATCCAGCCAGCTGCAAGTGGAGGAGTGGGGAATCAGACCCGGTTCTCCCAGATTACAGTCCGTGCACTTAACCACTACACCAAACTGGCTCTCTAAGAACTAACATGCTCTGGGATCTTCTTTTCTAGGTTACCTGCTTGCAAGACTTCTTTGGTGAGGATGATGTTTTCATTGCTTGTGGACCTGAAAAATATCGTTATGCTCAAGATGATTTTGTTCTGGATCACAGTGGTAAGCATGAACTTGCTATGAATTCTAAGATTCGATTGATCTGATTCATGTATCACTAAGTGATGGAACAGTTGCCATAACAGTAATAACTGAAGAGGCCAAACACTTGGATTGGAAGTTATTCCCATACAAGTAGATCTAAAGGAAAGATAGTGCTGTCATGGAAAGTAATCTAGTAAACCAGACAATCAGAATATTGCACTCCTGTATACATTAATTGCTGTCATATGGACCTCAAGCCCTGTGGCGGAACAGCCCCGCTGACCTGCAGGTTGTGTTCTGTCTTGCCCTCCAAAGCTTCTGGGCACCAGCAGTTGTTCAAGGTTTCAACTGGCATGTGTCACCCACCCGGTTTTCCCAAGCCTCAGAAGGGCCTTTCTCTCCGTCTTTCAGTTTAACCACTTCTAATACCCAGCCGTTTTTAGGAACTACCTGCTGAGAGGACCTGGGCTCCCAGGTTCCCTGCCCTGCATTGCCATTCTGAAGCCTTGCCTTGTGCCTGTATCTCCCGCCAACACAGCTTTCGATTACCCCAGGGACAGTTTACTGCACTTGTGCACCATTAGGGGACTCCTGTTCTTCCCTAGTTTAATCCTTGTTTTATAGTTCTGGTGAGCAAACTTTAGTTTGTGGCTTGGACATTATGAGGCACTGTGACTTGCCATAAAAGCTTGACATCTTGCATTAGATTGCTGGGAGGGATCATGTGAGTCTGAAGATCCTCCATGCTTGGTTCATTATTACATGTGAGGAATGCCTGTGTGCTAGTAAAGGCGCATAGATTATTTGCAGCAATGTGTGAATGCTTGCTTTAGCTGTTGTATTTAAGCCTTTATAAGTTAGACAACTTCTTTTTAGCCTATATTAGGGCTAATCAGTTGGAAAGCAATAAATTGATTTTTATGAATTGCCAATTCACAAAAAGTGTGCATATATTACTGTTTCTAGCATTGGTCAGGGCCAGTTTTATAATATGTCCTACATAGGAAAACGATGGCATACGAACTATATAAGCTTTAGTGGCCATTATGATAGTGTAGCTATTATAGTCAAAATGTTTCACAGTCCTCCTTATCTGTTTCTAGCTCTAAATCAATATAACATCTGTGGTTGTAGTTTACCTTGACCACCATAGAGCAGCATAACTCCAAGATTAAAAGGTGGCCATGTGATCTACCCAGTTCTCCAATGGTTGTGTCGTGGTACATTCTGTACTTCTGGGATAAGCTCCTCCCCTTCCTTTAGGGTCGGCTTCAGGCTTTGATCCCGGCGGGGGAGGGGCTTATCCCCATGCTGACCATCCAGTTCTTTGCTGGCCCTGCTTCCAGCAGGACGGGTTCAGGCGGCGCTGCAAAGCGCGAGGCACGAACAAAGAAAACAAAGAAGAAAAAAGGAACGTTGCTGCCTAGTCGCAGCCAGAGAAAACAGCGCACAACTCTGCTAGCCTTACCCACCTAAGAGGTGGAGGGTCTGCTCCAACGGACCAGGAGCTCAGAGACGCACGAGCACAGCGTCACGGAGGCGGTCGGCCTCGGAGCGGACGTGAGGCTCGGAGGGAACACGGAGCGGAGACACACCGACTCCCGGCTGCCCTAACGGTTGCGGTAAGGAGCCTACGGGCTCATGGGGACCCAAGATTCCACCCCTCACGAGACGTAGAGGGAGGGAAAGCCGCGTCCGGACTTTAAAAAAGGGGGGGAACCCGGGCCTCCCGGGGATGACCGATCGGCCCCTGCCCTCTCTGGGAGCGAAACCTAAGACCCCAACGGCGCCGAGGAAAGCCGGGGGGGGAAACAAAGGAGGCGGCTATCCTGAATCCCTGCATCCTCTGACACAGAGGCAGCAGGAACCGCATGGTCTCCGTGGGGAGGGGAGCCTTCCAAAGAGCAGACCACTCCCCCTTAGCCTCACGAGAACAAAGGGGGGAAGGGCAAGAGTTTACTCTGCCAAGTCGGAGAGGAGGTAACGGAAGACTTATCTCAGACGCCGTCTTCCCTCCGCTCCCCTCTCCCCCCTCCCCCCCTTCACAGGTCTGAGCGGGAATGGCAGAGACGACCGAACAGGGCGGTCTCGCTGGGGACAACGCGCAGGCCGGGGCCTCCACACAGAGCACCCAGGATTTCCAAACTAAGAGCATGGAAAGCAGGGAAACCATTAACCCTGACATAATGCAATGGTTTAAAGGGGAAATGAGGAAAGAATTCAAAGATCTCATATGGGAGACTTTGAAGGGTCCCAGACCTCACGAACCTGCACCGGAAAGGGGCAGGAAGCTTAAAAGAACCAGAGATAGAATAACTAGTACCTCCAGGTCCCCAGTAACCCCAAAGCGCAGCAAGCGCAAACCGGGCACCAGAGAAAGGAGTCCCCTGATGGAGCAGGGTGAATCTGAGGCGGAGGTTTCCTCTTCCTCCTCCTCCTCCTCTTCCTCTGCATCCTCTGACAAAGAGGAGGGTGAGCTTTCCGCGGAAGAAACAGAGACCACGGCACCCACGGTCCAATCACAGCTTTTTCCACTGGAGGTGTACCCACGCCTGGTGCCTAAAGTCCTAAGGACACTAGACCTGTCCTCCAAACCAAGGGAGGAGATAGAACAGGACTCGGAATTCCAAAAAGGGGTGGGGAAACTGATGCCCAAGGTTTCAGTGGCACAATCAGGGCTGCCATTACCGGCGTCCTTTTACCACATAATGAAGGCCGAGTGGGACAAACCGGCCAAACCCAAAGCAAACCATCCCCTCTTCTCTATACTCCCTGATGCCAGAGGCCACACAGAAGCTAAAGCTGCCTGTGGTGGATGACCCTGTTAACAACCTATACTCCACCTCGGTGCTCCCGATGGACACCGACGGGATGCCAAAGGGTCACACAGACAGACGGATAGAGCAGGCTCTAAGAAAGAGCTTTGAGGCCTCAGCGTCGGCTATTAAGGCCTCCACAGCGGGCTCTCTGTTCGCCAGAGCGGCCTATGAGTGGGCAGACAAACTAGCGGCAGCTGATAGTGGGGCACCTAAAGAGATCAAAGACGAGTTAAAGAAAATGGCGCTGGCGATGGCCTTCACGGCAGACGCCACCCTAGACACTCTGCAGCTGTCGGCGAGAGCACTAGCATGTAGTGTAACAGTGAGGAGGAACACGTGGCTTAGACACTGGGACGTTGATTCCTCAGCCCAGGCCAAAGTGGCAGCGGTGCCCTTCAAAGGAACGAATCTGTTCGGGGAGGGACTAGATAGGTATCTAGTCGAGGATAAGGACAAGAAGAAAGTCCTACCCTCCAAGAAGAGGGAGTATAAGCACAATAAGCGCTTTCAGCCCTTTCGTGACCAGAGAAGGGGCCAGAAGCAACACTTCTCCAGACCCCCCAAAGGCAAATGGCATACCAGACACCCGGGAGGAAAACCCTTCCCACACGGGAAGGGAGAACAGTCAGTGCCTAGAGCTCCCAAGAAAGGAGCCCAGGCGTGACTGTCAACACCCACAAGGGAAACACGAGATAGGAGGATGGCTGCAGGCCTTCTCGGAGCAGTGCCATCTAACCATCACAGACCAATGGGTCCTAGAAACAATATCGCAGGGATACAAACTGGAGTTCGCCTCCACACCAAGACACCGTGGGGTCAAGATGCCAAAGTTCCGAAATCGCGCAAAACACCTAGAGATCAAAGAGGCCATCCTTCATCTAGTGGAGATAGGGGCAATAGAGAAAGTACCCTTGCCCCAAAGGGGACAGGGCGTATACTCAATCTTCTTCGTGGTGCCAAAGAAAAATGGCTTCTTCGGGGTGCCAAAGAAAAATGGAACCACAAGGGCGATATTAGCCCTCAAATGGCGGAACCGCCACATCAGTGACAACAAATTCAGGATGGAGACACTAAAGTCCATCTTGTTGACCATACAACAGGGGGACTTTATGGCGTCTCTGGACCTATCCGAGGCCTACCTGCACGTGCCGATACACGACACACAGAGAAAGTACCTGAGGTTCAGCTATGCCGGTTCTCACTTCCAGTACAAGGCACTCCCTTTTGGCCTCAAGTCATCACCCAGGGTGTTCACAAAGATACTAGTGACCTTGGTGGCTCACCTGAGACTGAAAGGGGTAGGGCTCTTTCCGTAGCTGGACGACATTCTGGTGAAGGCACCATCAGCATCAGAATGCTTAGCAGCCCTGAACCTTACAATTCAGATCCTGACGGATCACGGCTTTGTGATAAATTTCCAGAAAAGCCACCTGCATCCCACACAGAGGCTGCAGCACCTGGGGGTGGAAATAGACACAGTCCAGGACAGGGTATTCCTGTCACAGGAAAGGGAGCAGAAAATCAGGACCTTAATGGACCAAGCGCTAAGGGAACCCAAAACGGAACTCATGAAGCTAGCCAAACTACTGGGGATGCTAGTCTCATGTCAGGAGATAGTACCGTGGGCCCGTTTTCATGCCAGGCCCCTGCAAAGACTCCTCCTACCATTCCAAGGGAAAATAATGCGCAAAAGCTTCAAGCTTATACGAATACCCACAACAGTGCGACGCCAGTTAAGCTGGTGGCAGGTACCGTCACGGTTCACGGAGGGGTCCCCTCTCAGGGAACCCCCGAGGGTGATCATGACGACGGACGCAAGGATGGGGAGCGCACTCAGGAGACAGGTTAACGCAGGGAGAGTGGTCAGACGGAGAGTCAGGGGCGAGCATCAACCTATTGGAACTGAGGGCGATACGCCTGGGCCTACTGGACCTGGCAGACACCCTGTCAGGACAGCATGTACTGGTCCAGACAGACAATACCACAGCAAAAGCCTATGTGAACAGACAGGGGGGTACCAGAATACGCTCCCTGAACACGGAAGCCACAAAGCTGATATCATGGGCGGAATGCCACCTGCTGTCTCTGAAAGCAACCCACGTTGCAGGCAGGGACAACAGGCTGGCAGACTGGCTAAGTCGAAAGCGACTGGACCAGTCAGAGTGGAGACTGAACCAAGTCGTGTTCAGGAGGATTTGC